AAATCGGTGAGTATAAAACTGCCTATAATATTGTAAGTACTATTGAACTAGTATTAGAAGAATTTGGTATTAGCGGAAGCAAACTGGTAAGTATTACTATGGATAATGGTTCAAATGTTAAAGCAGCTGTTGCACAACTTTCAAATAAAATTTCACCATCAAAGCCTATTGTCAACATCTTCTGTGCAGCATATACATTACAATTGAGTGTTAATGCAGGCTTAGATATCGTACATGATCTAGTAGTAAAATGTAAAGCATTAATTTGACTTTTGGGTAGAGAAAAAAAGTGTAAACAACTACAAGCTGCTCAAATAAGTACTAGCAAAAAAAAATCTGAAACTATTGATGTAATTCAAGACGTGGAGATCAGATGGAACTCGACCTATATAGCACTAAAAAGACTTATAAAACTTGAAAGGCCAATTAGGTGGTTAGTTAATGATCTCGAAAATTCTTCAAATATTGAACACCAACATGATGGTAGTAATATTCGAGACAAGATGCTTTCTAATAAAGAGTTTCAAATTATACATGACCTTGTTGATCTTTTATATCCATTTGATAAAGCGACTGAGATTTTATCGGGTTCTAATTATGCTACTTTGTGTATTATGATACCAACAATTGAGGAATTGATTAATCATTTAAATCAGACAAATAGTGAATCTGATATTATAAATGAAGTAAAAGATACCATTCTTGATAATTTATCAAGCAGATGGTCATCACCACATGAATATGGCTCATATACATCTTTTCTTGATCCAAGGTTCAAAAACCTATCCTTTTGCTCTAGTGTAAGTATAAAAATAAAATAAAATAAAAATTTTAATATGTGTAATTTAGTTTTACTCTTATATTAAATTATAATAGTCATTACAAAGACAAACCATTGAAGAACTAAAAGATCAATTTAATGAGCTAAATAGGCAAATTAATCAAGCAACAACTTCTAATACAAGTTCAACAGAACAAACTACAAAAAAAAAATCTGCTATGAAAAGTTTTTTTTCATCAATTTGACATGATGATGAATCTTTTAATCACAGTGAAATTGATAAGTACCTTTTACTTCCTAAGATAGATCAAACAGAAGAAAATGACCTACTAGACTGGTAGAATAAACAAAAGACTTAATTTCCAATTCTCTCTATTCTTGCAAGAAAGTATCTTGCAATTCCCACCTCCTCTGTTCCATCGGAAAGGCTATTTTCGGATGCCAGAAACCATATTACTCCAAAAAGAAATCAATTGGATCCACATCTTGTGGACAAGTTGTTGTTTTTAAAGCGAAATTTACTATATGTCAAAATTTTCCCTCCCTTAAATAAATAAAATAGAAAATAATTGTTAGTACTGTGATAGTTTAAATATAAAAAAAAAAAAAAAAAAAATTTATTGTTCTTTTTTTTTAGAGAGATATATATAACAATTAACAATTATCTATTTCTTACATATATATTTTTTTTATTGGCACCTTTTTTTTTACTAAATATTCATATATACTGTACGCTATAGGAAATATATGATAGAGAATAAAGTAACATACCCAATCGGATCATGTTTATATAGCTCAGGTATAAGATATGAAGAACAATATAGGAAAGTAAAAAAAAATATATAAATATATAAATATATGGAATTAAATTTTTTGTAAACATTCTAGACTTTTAATGATAAATATTTCCACTTACTGTAACCTGTAATACTTTTTTTTTTGTGAAAAAAGTTCTTTAAATGACAAATACATTAATACTGAGCCTTGATACATAGATAGAAGTCGAATTAAGAAAATTTTGTACATACAAAGATACCCGAAGTATAGATCAAGTTCATTTTGAAGATAAAATATATCGTTATGTTAGTATAATGACGTTATAATTAGTGATACAAATCGATAAAAATTTTGCAATCGATTTAGTTGTCAAAACTAAATGATTATTCGATTTTTATTCAATTTTTCAATTGTCAACTAATTTTCAATTTGTATCACTAAGTTATAATCAATTAACCAATTGATTGGTCAACTAATCTGATTAGTCAAAAATCGATTAGCATTAGCTAGTTGACCAATC